CATGTATGTCTTCTATTATTGTTAAAAAACTTTAGTCCACTTGAAATCGTGTAAAATATTGTGTATAGGCATTATGTTTCTGTTGAAAATGAATTTCAGATATTTAACTGCATACAGTAATGTAGAAAAAAAACACTTCGCTTTACTTATTGATACACTGCACAAAATTAGCTTTTTGCGAGCTTTCGAAATGGGCGACGCGGGGAGCATGCGCAGTACGGTTTCACGCTCCACTGCCCGTCGTAGAACGTTGCACCATAGAGAAACTGTTCTATTTTCTTCATGGCTGCACCGACGCGTCCAAATCAAAAGCTGCTTATTGGTGTGTAGACAGTCTGACGCGAGTTCAGACTGTCTTCTGACGTCATATGCCACTCACTGGGTAAACGGGTGCCCTGGATTACAGGAAATTGTTTAGTACGAACTGGATTTTTTTTCCGTGTAAATAGTGTAGGGGAATTTCCAGATTTCGATGTTTATTACATGAGGTGTTATGGTTAACCAAAGCATTATGAAACTCAACGGATGTAGACTATTTTATAGAGCTTTTTGAAAAATAATCAGGATGGAGAATAACGTAACATAAAAAACTACAAGTGATAATTAAGCCATATTAAATTTTGTAGGTCTACCTTGGTATTATCTTTTTGTTGTAAGACTTTTTCATCTTTAGATTTTATATTTTGTAGGTTAATTATTTTAAGCATTTACTTTACAGTTGACCTGTAAATATTTCTGAGTATGAAATGCGAAGTGAAATGTTATCTCATTTAATTTCATATGTTATTTTTCTACCTTTCTTTAATTTTGTAATATTATTTACAGTCGATTGTTATTCATTTTGTTTGTTAAATTTCCCCCTTTTTTTTTTGTTTTTGTTTTTTTTTTTGTTTTTTTTTTGTTTTTGTTTGTACGAACGCACCAATTGATATTGAGTGCCACCGATTCAAAGGTGTATGTTCAAATAAATAAATAAATAAATTAAAAGTGTTGAAATAAACGTTATTAACGTCCGGCATTGTGAACGTTTTGGTTATTTTAACACAAAGTTATTTATTTTCAAACTATTTTATAATACTTATTTATGGTACAACACATTCTTTTGAACACGAAGCTATAACGTTATTATAACTTTAAATATATACTGTTTGAACCAAACATTCGAAATGTGAATGAATATTAAATAATAAACCGTTTCGCTAATTCCCGCTCTTTTGGACATTGTGGTTAGCCCACAATACGCCCACGTGTGTTGTAGGCCCTGTTCGAATCTGATTGGTCAATTGTTACTTTAAGAAAGTACGGCCTAGCTTATGCCGTATATGTGGCAATATAAATGTTCTTATAAGAAATCCGAAACTATGGCTTACAGTGCTTTCGGACGTATGCTAGCGATATTGTTTTTCCAGATGTGAAACATTGGAACGGTTAATCATTGAGCCTAATCCTAATTTATATTTTTAATGTGTGACATTTAAATATTACTGTTTTGTTTTTACTTTCTATAGGCCTATTAGGAATTTGTTATAGGCTTACCTCCTGACTAAAGTAAAATTATAGCCACCTTCGACAAACCCATCCCGGAAGGTGACACCTGAAGTTGTTCTCTATTGACAAAACCTGGCGGTATTACATCTGATATTCGGTGAACTTTTCCTATTCTTGCAATAGGCCACTGTCTCTTTGGAAATTTCTGATTAATATCAAAAGACGAAACATGCTGTAATAAACATCCGAAGGTTGGGTAACTTCTGTCATTATTGAGATTATCACACCACGGTAAGACGTCCGATTTTTGATCCAGAATATGCTGCTACAGACATTATGGAAGATTCAATAACACCAACACAAAACGTGTCCGATGACGTATTTTTGGAAAACGGCCACCCAATACAGGTAGCAGGCGGGCCACCCGGCTACAGGCGATCCTCAAGCGTAACTACATCGCAGACGCCATTCCTAAAGAGGGAATCTGTAAGAAGAATTTCAGAACCATCCTTTTTCCTCCCGCCCGAGGAAACAAAACACTGCACATGGATTGCAGTAATTGCTGTACTGATAGTTGTGCTTGCAGCTATAGCTGGAGGTTTTTTTTATAGACTGGAGCTAAAAAACGGCGATTTACAGAGACAGTTATCTGAACTGAAAGCCGAGTTCGAGGCTTCGGGAGCCAAGTTAAGAGCGTCTACGAACACTGAAGACGCACCACGCGACGACGAAAATTGTGTATGCTCGTCTGGAAAGGCAAAACAAGGGGACAAAATAGAAGATTTTAAAACTTACGACGAAAATGGAAGTTCATCAATTTTGCAGTGCTGTGCACACGACCGTGAACAAGTAATATCCTTAATTAAGGAGGTACGTTAGTGCGTTTTTATTATACTTAAATATAGGCTGTAGATAATACATTTGGTCTGTATAATTAATAATATTTATAAGTTTTTATTATTTTTGGTTTGAAATTAGAAATAGAAAATACATTATGACGAGGACGAAAACGGAGAATGTTTTTCTGAAACACTGGCCACTCACAATGTTTGCATCAGTAACAAAAAATAGTGGAAAATAATGTCATTACTAATGGTGTCTGCGAAACTGAAATTCTTTAATTGAATTTCACTATAGTCCTATATAAAATACGCATAAATAGGCCTACTATATAAAGACATATTATTATAATTATTATTATGAAATGGCAAGGAAATCATCATCTTGGTTATGCCCAATAATTTGTTTTATTAGTTTATCATCCTCGCGCGCATGTTTTATATGGTATTGTAATATAAAAAAAATGGGGAAAAAAAATATGGGAAAAAATTGTTTTTGAAATTTTTTATTTATTTATTTATTTATTATTTTTTTTTTTACAAAAAAAATGTTTTCCCCCACCCCATTTGTTTAGTAAATAGCAAGTAGATATTGTTTGTATTATCTTAATCATGTTTTACTTTTAATATCAATGCACCGGCAACAACCCAAAAGTGATATTTGGCTTCAGAAAAAAATTAAAAGCTTCACTCCCTCATCACTTTTTCTAGCCTAGATATTTTTTTTGTTATAGGGCCTTAGCTTACTGTAACGAGCGCAGGATTAAGCTAACTTGAATTTAGCCAATCACTTAGCCAACTATTACCAATCGTCTCACTGTTTTACAATACTGTTTGTAGGCTATAGGAGCAATCGAGCCGAAGGATGATACGGATCACAGCAGTGGACACCGGAGTTTCGCCTATGCGCACGTTTCAGGAACGAATGGTACAGTGAAAGCAAATAATCCGATGTTTGGTAAGTGGTCTATAATAATAATAATAATAATAATAATAATAATAATAATAATAATAATAATTAATAATAATAATAATAATAATAATAATAATAATAATAATAAATAAATAATAATAATTAATAATTATAATAAATGATAATAAATAAATAATAATAATAATAATAATAATAATAATAATAATAATAATAATAATAATAATAATAATAATAATAATAATAATAAAAATACATAGTTCATTCTTATATAGCGAAAGTAAACATACTCTCAATACGCTGGTCGTGCTCTGGTCCGCCGTGTTTATAACACTAAATGTGTGTGTTATGTAGAAATTGAAATTACCACAAACAAAATGTAAAATAAATAATTTCGTGCCCAATAATAAATTATGCCTACTGGTTTCTGATTTTTTTAGACTGTTAGAATTATTTAATCAGCAACATTAGTCTAGAATCATCTTTTTACAAACAAAATCAGTGGCAGCACCGCACGGGGGTAGGGTTCAAGGGACTGCCACAGTGGTCGATGCGGAGCAGTTTCGACCAAGACAATGCAACGATTTAACCAGATTTAACAAACTCTTTACTTTTACATATTGCGTGATTAAATTAAAGTAAACAAGCTCATAGATGAGTTACCCATGATTAAAAAAATATAATTGCCTCTCCGGCCTGCTATATAACCCCCCTGACCTTTTTCAAGAGGGAGAAAACCCTGTCTCTTATACACATCTAGATGTGTATAAGAGGAAACCCCTGAAGCACTGGCGTATATAGCATTTTATAAGTCGTATCTAATTAATTTTAAGGAATGCAATTCAAATTTGTTTCCACACTACATTTTTAATATACAGTGGTGGATCCAGAAATTCGAAATAGAGGGGTGCCCAACCCATTATCTACTGATTAGCTAGTGAAAACATATGATAAACCATGTTCCTTCATGGATAAACTTAAAACAGTTACTCAAATTCAATAGTCTCTTTCCATGTACAGTACTTCAATCAAGAGTTTTTCATTTTCTTCTTTTTTTTTCAATTTCACCTTTGTGCAAGTACTGTAGTAATTACGACTACACTAGAATTGTTAGTGGAAATACTACCGTCTAACTTACGATTAAACAGGACTAAGGAGGAAAAGCATAAAACATTAGTTAGCATTCATTTTTTTTCACAAACATAAAAGGTGATTTACTTTATTTATCATCATGATGTCATGGCGAGATTGCGTCAAGTACGGTAACATCGGAGTTCGTAAACTTGTGGTACTACTTAAATAAGTCGAAATAGACAGACCTATCCGTGTCAAAGGCTGTATAATTATTGTTCAATAACGGCTTTATAAAATTCAATTGACTAACTATAATTTTTTTTTAAATTAGGAAAAACAGGAATCTATGTATGCAGATAATATTTAACACGGGCCTTAATACTATACAAAAGGAATAAATCGTTTATAGCACAAATTGTGCACTTTTGAATTTATAAAAATGTTCGCCTACTTTGTTTACACGTTTCCAATTTTAACAACGTACAGTACGTTGCACCCATAAAATCAATGAAGTAGTTACTGAGATGGTTTGAAATGTACAAATTAACAATTACGTTTTTACTCAGTTTTACTTAGTATTGGTCCGGAGATACGCACCACACTTTGAACAGAGCACAAGTGATAGACAAAATTCATGACAGTCATTCGTAATTGTTGTTCATTCCACTTGCTTTGAAAAGTGGGGTTTTAACATAGAAGATTGGTGAAAAGGTGGGAGGGGGGAGGAGGACAATTGATATGATGTTTCTCCTACTTTGAAAAGTTTGGGACGTGTCCCCCTGTCCCCAATTGACGCCCATGTTTCATAGGAACAGAGACTTAATCATACAAGTACCAGGGGCGGATCTAAGATTTGAAAGAGGGGGTTCAAAATGTTTCTAAAAAACCCAAAAAGAAAGGGGGTCCGGGGTCCTCCCCCGGGAAAATGTTGATTCCTAGATGGAGGGAAATGAGCTTTCCCGACTTCTGAGGTGTCTTTTAATGTCTCTTAAACATTCAAGGTTTTCTCCCTCTTGAAAAAGGTCAGGTAATTTTATCTCATTCTTAAGCCTATACATAGAGAAAAAAAATCAAAGACATTATCAACATATTATATTCCAACAATCAATGAACACACTTTCGTACATAAATTATACATCGTCGAATCAAAAACAGTGTTTTTAATTTTTAGTTTAATTGAAGGCTAGTTGGGCTAACCTTGTCCAATCTGCCAACCTATGCCTAGGTAGTTTAGCATACCTTTTGTAAGCCAGGACCCAGTGTATTTTGTTACGTTTCTTCACAGAGAGGGGGTGCGGTTCGTCCGAACCCCCTGAACCCCTCCCCCGGATCCGCCACTGGATACACCTCTAGTGATGTACCATGTCCGTCTCATAGCCTCATATCGTCCCATGCCTTTATGATTGTTTATGTTCACGATATTTAACCAAATCACAATGTGTATAACCAAAGAGTATGCAGTTCTATACTCTTTGGTAAAACGTGAGACAAAACATTGCAAGTTCATGATTTCCAAGGTAAAAGGTCAAGTAGGACTATCATCACAATTTGATTGCCGGGTTTGTTGGGTACCTGGAGCAACCAATTCACCTGAATACGTTGTATCACGTACTAACTATTATATTATTTTGCACCACGTTAACCTATACCATTAGGGCCTTATCAAAGGAAAACACATTACAGTACTGTGTTGATATTAAATTACAGTCGGGGGTAATAGCCTGAGTGCAACATATTGTGATTGTTATTGTAAGCATCGATTGTTTTATCATTGATTGATTCAAATGCTTCGATTAGTGCTTGAAAGTTGGTGGAGGATGAATCGAAGAAAAAGATAGCATTGGCTTGGGGGCGGAGGCGCCTAGAGCCGCCCCGGTTGGGTCCAGGGGCTCTGGCGCCTTTCCCGCTCCACTACGGGAAACAGAACCACAACGTTTTCAGAATATCCATCATAAACTGTTTCAATTAAATATGTAATCAATGGCGAAATATTAGGAGAGGCTGGACAATTGATATAATGTCCCTCCCACTCATCGACGCCCATTAGGCCCCATAAAAAATTATTAGTTTATCACCCTATCAAAGAATAAAAACTGATGAGGAAGGGAGGTTTTTTTTTTTTTTTTTTTTTTTTTTACTATCACAAGTAAATCAATGGTTAGGGACACATATATAAAAAGTCATAAGAATGGAATCAAATTTATATTTAAAAAATATGTTTTTGTTGTACCAGTAAGCATATTTGCAAGAAACCCTGAGTTTTTCAAGTGAAAAAAGATGGAAAAAGGACCGTTTGAAATAAAAAATATATGTTGATTGAAAAAAAAAAATCTGATTTTTCCCAAAAGTGATGAGGAAGCGGGTGATAAGCTAATAATTTTTTTTATGGGGCCTTAGATTGATTGAAGATATTTATTATAAACATACAAAGTACAAACGATTACAGAGAAAACTAAGGATGAACGAATACCCATCATCGCACGTTTTGTCAAATCTCTCCACTTGTCTCGATCTTTAGCAAGCAGTGTATGTTGATCCATAGATCATTGGTTCTATCTAAATAATTACCCAACCATGTCGTTTTCGTTTAAACATAGAAGACAACAGACTTATAGTTTGGTGCTCAAATGGGCCCATGGACTCAAAATAAGAGTTAGGCTCGGGGTTAGGGTGGTGGCTGTCTCTTATACACATCTAGATGTGTATAAGAGACTCAGACAGGATCCACTGTCGTCCGACGAACGACTAGGTCATTGGTTTAAGAAAAATGTAAGTTTCCTATCCAAATAACTTTATTTTGATTGCCAATCCCTAATATTGTGGTCATAAAAAATGCACAGTTTGGAGCATAATGAGCCATAAAAACTCTCCCCATGAAAACTACCAGGGATTGTTTTTTTTTTTTTTTTTTTTTTTTTTATTCCGGGCCTTCGGCGGAGGCTCCGTCGAACCCTTGGTTCGGACTCCTCCGTCGAACACGTCGGACACCTCGTCTTCAAATCTCTGGCGCCACCGCTGGTTAGGGTCACGCGGATATTTTTTCTAGGACGCTTTCGGGATTAATTCTATTTCTTACTGCATAATTATTGGGAGCACTTAGGCCAATATACAGTGTTGAACTTCCAATATTAGACGAAGTCGTTGATACAACTGACCCACGTCACATCCCAATAGCTCATTCTTACATTCTGTTGTTGTCTTTCTTCAAGACTATGGAACGCCAAATTTCCGAAAGGCAAATTTTCAAATAAAGCTCGAAAATAGATTGTGCCTGTGTTTGAAAATTGCCCTTTTGGCGCCCCATACTAAACTAGTGTCAGTACCTAAATAAGCAATTAGTAGAGCTCCGCATTACACTATTGGAAAATTGTTATACGAAGGTTAGAATTAATGCTTAAAAAATTTCCTGAGGCCTGCAAGGCTTGAACGAAATTTCTGAATGCAGTAAATCTAACCTAAGTATAATCATTTTCCGCTAGTGTACGATGCATGTTCTACTAATTGCTTTATAAGTCATGTTAGTTTTTATAACCAACTGATTTGTACCAGTCATCGGTTGATCTGTGCTCCTGCAGAGGCAGCGCCTATGCGTAACTACACATTGACAGTAGGCCTACTCTACGGATACGATGAATAACTAGGCCTAGGCCATATGTTATTTTGTAATTTTTATTGTGTTAGAAGAACTTGTTTGTAATTTTTCACATTCGTCAAATAAATATACATTTTTCAAAGCATTTGAGAGAAGAATACAGTCACTGTCTTTAACTGTTTGTTCGGTGCAGACACTGTCTCTTATACACATCTAGATGTGTATAAGAGACAGACCGTAATAATTTTCAATGGCGAAATATTAGGAGAGGCTGGACAATTGATATGATGTCCCTCCCACTCATCGACGCCCATTAGGCCCCCCCCCCCAAAAAAAAAATTATTAGTTTATCACCCTATCAAAGAATAAAACTGATGAGGAAGGGAGGTTTTTTTTTTTTTTTGTTAATCCCGCCCCAATTTTACCGATGATCACAAGTAAATTAATGGTTAGGGACACATATATAAAAAGTCATAAGAATGGAATCAAATTTATATTTAAAAAATATGTTTTTGTTGCACCAGTAAGCATATTTGCAAGAAACCCTGAGCTTTTCAAGTGAAAAAAGATGGAAAAAGGACCGTTTGAAATAAAAAATTTATGTTAATTGAAAAATAAAAAAAAAAATAAAAAAAAAATGTTCCCAAAAGTGATGAGGAAGCGGGTGATAAGCTACCGTAATAATTTTTTTTATGGGGCCTTAGGTTGATTGAAGATATTTATTATAAACATACAAAGTACAAACGATTACAGAGAAATCTAAGGATGAACGAATACCCATCATCGCACGTTTTGTCAAATCTCTCCACTTGTCTCGATCTTTAGCAAGCAGTGTATGTTGATCCATAGATCATTGGTTCTATCAGCGTTGGAAGGGGACCCCCCCCCCCCGGTCAGACAGGATCCACTGTCGTCCGACGAACGACTAGGTCATTGGTTTAAAAATTCCAATATTAGACGAAGCCGTTGATACAACTGACCCACGTCACATCCCAATAGCTCATTCTTACATTCTGTTGTTGTCTTCCTTCAAGACTATGGAACGCCAAATTTCCGAAAGGCAAATTTTCAAATAAAGCTCGAAAATCGATTGTGCCTGTGTTTGAAAATTGCCCTTTTGGCGCCCCATACTAAACTAGTGTCAGTACCTAAATAAGCAATTAGTAGAGCTCCGCATTACACTATTGGAAAATTGTTATACGAAGGTTAGAATTAATGCTTAAAAAATTTCCTGAGGCCTGCAAGGCTTGAACGAAATTTCTGAATGCAGTAAATCTAACCTAAGTATAATCATTTTCCGCTAGTGTACGATGCATGTTCTACTAATTGCTTTATAAGTCATGTTAGTTTTTATAACCAACTGATTTGTACCAGTCATCGGTTGATCTGTGCTCCTGCAGAGGCAGCGCCTATGCGTAACTACACATTGACAGTAGGCCTACTCTACGGATACGACGAATAACTAGGCCTAGGCCCTAGGTTATTTTGTAATTTGTATTGTGTTAGAAGAACTTGTTTGTAATTTTTCACATTCGTCAAATAAATATACATTTTTCAAAGCATTTGAGAGAAGAATACGGTCACTGTCTTTAACTTTTTGTTCGGTGCAGACAGGTAAAAATCGTGGGATGATTTCATACTGTTAGTAGTAGGAGGAGGCCTCGGCGGCTCTACATCTAATTTCGTTCCTTGAGTCTTTAAAATAAGTCGAGAATATTCCTATTAAAACGTTCAGTTTCTTTAGATTAGGGTTCATTGATTCAAGGAATTGCTTAATTGTTCATACTAAATATTGAATTTAAAGTAACTTTCTTCGGGTTCTAATTAACCTTGTTTTACGAAGGTAATTTTGAATTACAATTCAATTTTTATCGCGGTGCACGATGTTTTCGCGGTGACACAAAAAATGAGGATTTTTTTTTGCACACGAACCTAGAAAAAAATCAAGCCAAGCGTCCACTAATTTAAAAATTAGTGGACGGTGGGGAATAGGCAAATAACATTGTGAGCTGTAGTGATGACGTCACGATTGACTTATAATAGTAGTTATAGCGCCTTGAGACGGTTTTCTGTGGAAGGCGCTATATAAATATACGACCATTGACCATCATGGTTAGGCCTATATCACCAAAAATAAATTATTGGTTTTTGTAAAAAAATGTTGGTATAATTATTTACGACCGTTTTTAAATTATTAACCGTTTTAGTTTTTAGTGGAGCATACGTTTAATATTTAATTTCAATAATATTGATCAATATGAAACTGTACGTCTTGTCATAATCAATTAATGAAAATCTCGTTATTTACATTTACGGATAAGAAAAAATTATTTCTAAGCAAACTTACATATTTCACTCCTATATTTACAGGCCGTGCCTATTATTGTAATATTAGATTTAATTAACAATTAAAACTGTACGTCTTGTCATAATCAATTAATGAAAATCTCTTTATTTACATTTACGGATAAAAAAAAATTATTTCCAAGCAAACTTACATATTTTACTCCTATATTTACAGGCCGCGCCTATTATTGTAATATTAGATTTAATTAATAATTAAAATACACTCGTATACCATACAATAAGTGGTGATTGCTGCCACGAAGATTTGAATTCAATGCCTAAAATTAATATGAACTATTTTCCTGATTATCTAGGTCACATGACGGGCTGGCATGTGCAATCAGCTAACCGTACTTTGTTCAGCCGAGGCTGCATTAAGATAGAATACGCGGGGATGTATTTTGTCTACAGCCAAATTTACTTTTATACAGAACAGAATAGGCCTACTTCTGAACCTACAAACATCACAGCGGCTTCAAATCATGAGCCAATGGTGAGTTTTACGTTAACGTTAATCTTTTTCTACACTATCAAATTTCATTTCTAAAAAAAGGGTCACATAAAATTTGATAGAACACGTTCAACTTTTTTTGATACAGTTTGATGATATGTGATATGACCACATCGTGCCCATATATGGGGACATCACATTTTCTGTCACATAAAATTTGATAGTGTAGACAAAGCTTAACAGTTCGTGTACATTTTTTTTATAGAACCATTGCGTATTTATACAACGTGATTTCCTATTATATAACATTGCTGAAGTTTCTCTAACCTCATTTTCTTGCATAACGTTAGCGTTCACTGTGTTCGTGAGTCGTGACAGGGGTGGCGCCGCCGCGCCAGCACCTGACAAAGATCAACGAAGTTGTTCGAAACTGTAGTGGTAAAGAAATTTTACTGTTGGCTTAGTATCAAAGACAATTCATCTAAAATATTATCTACATATTTAGTATGACTCCAAAATCGATTAAATACTGTAAGCCTTTGAAATTCCTAAATTTTCATATTTTTCGGGGCTTCGCACCTCTTTCAAGAGATTTTGAGCGATTCCCGACCATGCCCACTTTTTTTCGTCTGGGATCCACCCCCCCCCCACCCCCGTAAGGGACCTTGGACCCCGTCGGCGGACAAATCCTGGCGCCACCACATGGTTCGTGAATGTTATGACGTTTTGCGTTTTTCTGGGAAGATTTGTAGGCCCATCTGCTGCTTGAAATGGAAATATCAGAAAGGAATAAATCCGGCCCACATGAAATAGGCCTACCAAGTCGTCTACCGCATTTTAAGCCTATAGACATGGCCTTGATTTACACTCAAACTGCAATCAGTCGTGACGGCGCTTAGCGTACTAGGCTATTTTATCTGGATTTTTTTTGTCTCGCTAAATTCAAAAGTTAGATACAGGTCAAGGCAACTTCAATCATACCAAAACAGTATAATTGTATATTGTTGGAAATACCAAATGGGCGGAGCAACGAATCATTTAGAAATTAATAAGAGCGATTAAGAACAACTCACAAAACAGAGCAAGTGGTTAAACTTGCGTATACACACTCATTCATTTTCAAGGATATTGAAATGTTAAATGCTCTTAGAACTCTGGCGCCTTGTACAATACCGAGGCCTGTTGTCTCAACCCCTCCCCCACCAAAAAAGGAAACAGAGCCACACAACATCACATTGGTTTTTTATGCCCTCTCGGGGGAAAATACACTAGGTTATGATCTGGCAATTAAAGATACGGAAAGGGTAAATTCGGTAGAGGTGCATCATGGGTCATATATCATCTTAAGTACCTCATTACTGCACAAAAGTCATAAAAAAAATACACAACACATCCACACATTTCCTGATAACCGAATCCCACTTTACTTTATTAGTAAACTACAGTTAGGCAGTAAATAGGACATAGGCTAAGACACACGTACGCTCCCGCTGGGACCAGTAACATGAAAGGATGACAATTGATTCACATACAGTATTTTAAAATTATGTAGGCATCTATACCTTCACTAATCTAATCACCGGGTGGTGTACTTGAATGTGATTGGTGGTGGTAGTGGTTTTTGTAGCGGCGACGATGATGGTGGTGATGATGATGATGATGAGATGACTAACTGATTATTTAACAATGTACAAAGCATTAGGCCTATGTGACGACTGTTTAATAAAACGTATTTCTGATCAGTCTCATCATGGACCTATTAAAAAGATTTAATTATTATAATAGGTCCATGGTTTCACAAAACGAATAGGCCTACCAGACTAAATTATTTAAACTACAAAATATTACGGTATTGACAAGATTAATTGATGTGAATTATGACAACGCAATGGCAAGTAAATTTTGATCGGCTATATTATTAAACAGACCAACAGACAAACCAACACATCACATTTTTCCATATACAGTAAACACGTTTCAAAAATATTAACCTTCCCGCCATTGTTGCTAGGGGAATGTAGGTAAGAATGACCATTTTTACCTACCTGTCATTGGGGCCATTTTTACCCTGGCCATTTTTACTAGGGCCATTTTTTCCGGGGTCATTTTTTCCTGGGCCATTTTTTACGGGGCCATTCTTACCGTACACCGTTGCTAAGGTCCCACAAAACGACAGTAGGGAGCTTTCGGTGTGTGCGACGACGCGACGCTAGAACGGAATCACTCATGCGTAACCGTCCTACCTGACGTCCTAGTTCTCTGTGGCCAAATTGGTGATCTTAACGTTCTCGCGTGCGCAGATGACTTTTAGTGACGTCATTACGTTCTACGTCCTACTGTCGTCGTCCGCGTTTATTCCTGTCACTGTTTTGATTGGCCAGCTGTTAAGTTTGATTGACGCTCCGGAAAGGTCAATTTAATTGCTATTAATCATGCCACATGATGAATTCATTATATATTCTGAAATTTTTTGTTTCTAATTCAAAATTAGTTTCTTTTTAATTTTTTTAGTTGTAGGCCTATATTGTTTCAAAATGCTTTTTTATTATTGCGTCTTGGTAGCGTACTATCCCACAACATGTTAGTGAAACCATTTTAAAATGTCTCAATAATTTTGCTTTGTTTTACCATAGCTTCACGAGACGTGTCGAAATGAGAAACCGATTATGAAAAGTGCAGTTCCGTACCGTGACTTTACCAGTAAATACCACGGCGGCGTTTTCAAACTGGAAAAAAATGACGAAATCTCAATCCGGGTCTCGAAGAATGACTACCACGTGAACCTAAACCCCGAACTTACGTTTTTTGGAGTTTACAGCCTTGAAGAATAAGTCCATTGTTACCAACAACAAAGGTTCAAAATAATTGCCTGGTATTAGACACGCGTACGTGACGGTTTCGATCTTTACAATATATTTTTGTTTGCATACAGTTGTTCCCTATTTCATTTATATAATTTACATCATTTCATTAAAAATGCCTACAGTAATATGATAGCAAAAGCGCAATAAATCACTACCGTGTTACGGGATTTTACCGAATAACTATTTTAAAGATACTACTAGATAGCAATTGTACATTGTGCGCTATAAATGTACATTACGTCACCTCATACAAAAGTATGGTATAATGGGAAACAAATCGAAACAGACGAAGGGTTAACAGGAAATGTACCTGGCATATAAATACAAACAAATAGGCATTAAATCTATATCACACTTAAATGAGTGGCCATATCTTCTTCATATACCGTACCGGTAGGCTTAGTTTGGATAATAACCAATAAACACTGTGTGATTTTGTATTTTGGTAGAATGTAGGTAGGTTTCCCGGTTGACGGAAGGTCAAATATTCTGATTATTATGCCATGTACCCGATTTACTACACAACGCTTCCTCAACAGGCCAATAGACCGAATCGACTTCAGCTATTACTGGTCACGTGACATATAGTGGGTAATAATAATTTTCAATTTATATAGCGCAAAATGTAAAATAGGGCCTACCTCTATGCGTACAGCATGGTTTGGGAAAAATTATTAAAAGTTTCGCAAAAATATAAACACATACACATCGTAAACCACAGCGCGCTCATTAAACACAGTAGGGCCTATATTAAGAGAGTTACTGTATTATGTTTTTTAGACAATGTGTTACAATTAAAAATATTTGTGTCCATTGTCACATCGGTGTGAATAAGCGCGAAGCACGAACTTCACTGATCAGTGGCTGTAAAAATATATTGGTTGATAAGCAACGGAAAAACATTATGATTGTTAGCATAATTTGGAAAAACCCCCCAGGTCGGCTATGTTTACTCGGTGAGATATATAAGATGATAATGCGTGTTGACAATAATCATTATAACAGATGAGTATATCCTGAATGGTCATCCTTAGAGTTTTCTGATAATCTATCAATGTATAACTAATTATTTGAGGTAAACATGAAGATGAAAATACAGACCTCCTTGCAGACAAATGTGAACAAACAATACTTTCATCGGTACCCTCTTCCTCCCCTGAAAGAGTACAAAAAATGTTGATTTTGCAAAACCATTCTCCATTTTTTTGTGAAGTCAACTAAAGCAATGTACTTGGTTGCTTGAATATGAATATTATATCCATGGTTACATTATAATTTTACCATTATTTTACATATTACATGTTATTTTGAATCACATTTTTATGCATATGTATAATTGTATTCACCCCTGCTTACATGCCAACACGCTCGTTTTGATTCAGTACGACTTTACAAAGGAATAGACTTACGGTCACTGATTTACATTTAACCAAAAGTTAAGAGACGACTAGGCACTATTGGAAGAACTCCCATATAGGCCTCAAAGTTTGTAACTGCTGGTTTTTCAAAGGGCGTTCGCTAAGAATTACAGCAAAATGTTTTCGATTGATTAATACACAGAAGAAATGTAATTAAATACATAATATATAATATAATTATATATTTTTTCCCTAATTTTTATTGGGTTACTTTATGACTATGTATCAAAGTTACCGCAACTGTACATGATTTCGTAAACTCATCTACATAAAAACAAATCCTCTTTTTAATCACCGAATTCATACATCTTCCTTCACAAAGTTTATCTCATTTAATTTTTTTTTCATTTTCCCCCTAACGTATTATCAAATTAATCAACACTGTATCACATCTACATAACCGAAACTCTATCAAAAAAACAAGAAGATACCCTTTTTAATCAGCGAGGTGATGTCAAGATACAAACACCTACTTATAGACTAGATATTTCAAAGCATATGCGTTTAGACAAAAGTACCATTGTTATTACATCCGTATAATGTACCTTGATACGTTCGTCCTTTTCTTCATGGTGTATTCACGGCCAATATTAGCTTTTGCGTATGATTGAGGATGATTTATGAGCGGTTTGAGAACTTTGATCACTGCCTTCACTACGGTAAATTGTTTCTCCTGAAAAACAATTTCGAACTACTGTATACATACACACACACACACACACATACACACACACACACACACCCACATACATGTGAAGTAGCTATAACCGATGACATTGAAAAAATACGCTACAAGTGGTGACATAGTTAATCTTCGTTTTTTTATGGTAAAAATGTGTGTAATGCTAAATCTGTGGGTAAGCAAGGGATGTTTAGCAACAGCCCTAACATTGAGTAGGACATTGCATAACTGAGTACGAGTATGTCACAAGATACCGCTGCTTATTTTTACAACACACAACGTGTGTCCTGTCTCTTATACACATCTAGATGTGTATAAGAGACAGAGACCAAGA